AGACATAGAAGCAACATAACTGTCTATCAACAGAGGAATGGATAAAGATGTGGTACATATATACAATGGAATATTACTTGGCCATAAAAAATGAATGAAATAATATCATTTGCATCAACATGGCTGGACCTAGAGATGAGCCTACTAAATGAAGTGTCAGACAGAGAAAAGACAAATACCATGTGATATCACTCACATGTGGAATCTAATTTTTAAACAATGATATAAATGAACTGATTTACAAAGCAGAATTTCATAAATTTCAAAAACAGAAGAGGGTCTTAACCACTGGGCCACCAGGGAAGTCCTCTCTCATTTTCCACTTTGAGCCATTGATCTCCCTGTCAACATAGAACAGTCTTACCACAGCGCTGTAGTGACCCTAACATCTGGGCTCCCCAGGTGGTGCTAGTGGTAATGAATCCTCCTGCCAATGCAGGAGACACAAGAGATAGGGGTTCAGTCTCTGGGTTGGGAAGATCCCCGGAAATAGGGAATGGCGCCCGACTCCAGGACGCTTGCCTGGAGAATCCCATGGACAGAGGAGCCTAGTGGGCTGTAGTCCACGGGGTCGCAAAGAGTTGGACATGACTGAGCATAATGATGACCCTAACATCGTAATGCATTCTTTTTTAAGAAAATGAAGTCACCTGAACTAAATTTGTATCTGAATTTCCCCACATCCTTTGAAGATCCTGCCAGAGTTAGGGCACAGTGAGCAGAGATGGTCCCTAACCCTGGACCCTATAGTGAAGAGGGGTGAGGACCTTGGGCAGGGGGTGGGGATGAAAACGGCTCAGCAGGGCGTGGGGTTGGGGTAAGGGTGGCCACTGGGCCCTGGAGGTCTGGGCACAGGGCCGGGAGTCTCAGTGGCGCCCCTGCTGGGGGCTGGACCGACCGCAGGGGCACAGGGCACAGGCAGGAATGACGGCAGAAGGTCTCTCTGAACCCGGTGCTGAGACCGGAAGTGATTCAGGTAACCGGAAGTGATTCTGGTAACCGCAAGCTCCGGGCCTGAGTCGGAGGATGGCGAGCCAGCGTCCTCCGCCCGGGCTGGGATGACTCTGGGCAGGCACGCCCCTCCTCCCCGTCTCCCAGCGGGCACTGCTCCGATCGCCCGTGGTGAAACTGACTTGGTGACCTACTCAATGCTCTCAGACCCCTGTCTCAGTGCCCCTCTCCCTTACAGGCGCTTCCCTGGGATGGCCTCCCAAAAGAAACAATTTGCATCAGATACGTTCAGCATCCGCTCCTGGGGGACACACGCTGAGAACAGGGCCCAGGGTTGCTTTGTGCTGGTTGCCCTGAGTCTGTGTTTGCACTGACAGCTGGCGGCTTCCTTGGTAGATCAGACGGTAAAGCATCTGCCTGCAATGTGGGAGACCCGAGTTTGATCCTTGGGTTGTTGGGAAGATCCCCTGGGGAAGGCAGTGGCAACCTGCTCCACTACTCTTGCCTGGAAAATCCCATGCACAGAGGAGCCCCCTAGGCTACAGTCCATGGTGTCGCAAAGAGTCGGTCGCGACTGAGCAACTTCTCATTCTTTCTTTCTTTTCTTTTGATACTTTCACACCAGATGCTCCCTAATATTCGATCCTCACATGACGAGGCTCTCTGTCTCAGCCAACAGTAAGTGCAACCTTGGGAATTTTACCTGAGGCTTCCAGAAGGGGTAAATTATTTGAGTGTTCTGTTTTATTCTCATCTTACCAAAATGAATAGTGCTGTAGACTCAATGTTCGCATCCCTTCAAAATTCATGTTGGGCCCCATGTGACTGTATATGGAGACAGGGCTCGTAAGAGGGTGGACAGAGTTTACTGAAGTCATAAGGGTGGGGTGCTGATCCGATAGGACTGGTGTCCTTATAAGAATGCAAGGAGTGAGGACAGATCTCTCTCCCTCTGTGTCCACACAAACACAGAGGAAAGGCCACGTGAGGACACAGCACAGTGAGGAGGCAGCGATCGTCCAGCCGAGAAGGAAGTTCTCAGAAACCAAGCCGGTGGGAAGCTTGATCCTGGACTTGTAGCCTCCAAAAGTGGGAGAAAAGTCATTGCTATGATTTAAGCCACCCAGTCTGCGGTGTTTTCTTACAGCAGCCCAAGTGGACTCATAGGCAGGAAACAGGAAGGAAGGAAGGGAGGGAGGAAGAAGGTGTTCATACTTGTGATGTCTCTTTAACTCAGGCCAGTGGGACAGTGATGGGACCCTCTAGAAGGGCCAGCAACAGGGAGCCCTTCGCTTCCATCAACACTCACAAGATCCGAGAAGAACCATAAGGAGAGGGCAAGCTCGTCTCATCCAGCCAGCCTGGCTCAGCGCCTAAGCGCCCTGGCTGCGAGTGGAGAGGGTGGGGTGCACCCCCTGGGGCCGGAACTGCTCAGCTGCCTCATCAGGGTCCGAACTCATCGTGCAGGGACACACGGACGTGCCTGGAGGGCTCCAGCCACCAGATGTGGGACGCCCCTCAGGCTGGAGGACTTCCCGGCCGGCGACATCTATTCTGGGCTTCACACAAAGGACGTTTTGGCAGGACCGTTGCAGGCTTTACCTCCAGACGTCTGAAGTCATCCTGCCTGTGAAATCAAGCATAGATAGGCTAGGACTCCAAAGACCATCGAGTTGAAACCAGACACCTCCAGACGTGGCAAGCCACTGAGCAGAAGAATATAAACCCTAAAGCTCGCTGCTAGGTCTGCCCCGGAGAAGTCTGTGATTATAGAGGTGCCTCAGTCACTCATAGAGATCAGGTGGGGCAGCCTGACAGCCACCCCCAAAGCTCCTCGTGGTGGGGGTCGGGGGCTGCATGGGCTCCAGGCCAGGGCAGGTGGACAGAGGGCTCTTGTGGGGCTGAGACCAGGGCCTGGGGATTCTGGGTCCCTGGGGGTGGGCAGGGCTGGCTGTAGTAACCCACTCAGGCCAGGAGAGGGCATCAGAGGGCAGCGGGAACCAGCCTGTGGACCAGGGAGTCCCACCCAGGCTGGCCTGAAGGGTTCTTTCCCAGGTTCCAGGATGAACTCCCAGAAGGTACAGACCTCTGGGTCAGTGGCCACTGCCCTCCGTCCTGAGCTCCTGGAGGGCGGGCAGCCTGGTACACTCCAAGGCCAAGGGAGCCGTGGAAGAGAGGCCAGGGGAAACGAAGCAAGTGGGCAGGGGAGATGTACGTGCTGGACGCTCCCTCTGCAGAGAGGTGGGGCATTTACTGGGCGGGATGAGGGTGGCTCAGATGGTAAAGAATCCGCCTGCAATGCAGGAGGCCCAGGTTCAATCCCTGGGTCAGGAAGATCCCCGGGAGAAGGGCATGGCTACACACTCCAGGATTCTTGCCTGGAGAATCCCATGGAGGGAGGAGCCTGGCTGACTACAGTCCATGGGGTCACAAAGAGTCAGACACGACTGAGCTACTAACACTTCCACTTTCTTTTTCACTAGGAGAACAGCTCTGGGGCTCTTTAGAGGATACCAGGGTACCCTCTGGGCTTCCCTGGTGGCTCAGACGGTAAAGAATTTTCCGGCAATGTGGGAGACATGGGTTCGATCCCTGGGTTGGGAAGATCCCCGGGAGGAAAGGCATAGCAACCCACTCCAGTGTTCTTGCCTGGAGAATCCCGTGGACAGAGGACCCTGGTGGGCTGCAGTCCATGGGGTAGCAAGGAGTTGGACAAAACTGAGCTGCCAAGGGCCCCTCCCCAGGCAGGTGGTGTGGGAGGACCCTCCAGGGAGGACAAACCTCCCCGTCCCTCAGTCTTAGGCTTAGGCTGTGTCTTGGCTTAGTCGGATACACCTAAGCACGGGGTACCTCCAGGCTAGGGTGCTGGGGGCAGGTCTGTGGTGAAGGGTCAGAGAAGGGTCTGGAAGGGAAAGGTGATGGAGAGGTTGGAGAGACACGCGCTGATGCCTGACCTCCACCCAAGGGCCAGGCTGCGGGTCAGCAGAGTCTGGCCTCAGCTGTCAATCTCCCCGGGACCAGCACGGGGGCGCTGGTGGCCCAGGGGGCCTTCCTGGTGGAGCAGCTCAGACCTGAGAGGGAACCAGCCCCACCGGGCTGCCCAGCGACCTTTGGAGAGTCACCCCACCGACACTCACCCTGCCTGAGCCCCAGTCAGCTGATCGGTAAAGCGGGGGTGTTTGCAGCAGTGTTCACCCCACAGGAGCGCCCTGGGGACCGAGTGACATTGTCTAAGTGATCCAGTGCAGGGCTGCACCCAGCACCGGGGCTCCGTGTCCGGGAGCCACTCTTAGATCGGGTGGTCACCACTTGACGGGCAGCTGGGCCCAGGCACAGAGGCCCAGGGCAGCGCCCCGTTCACAGGGCCCTGGGGACACCGGCGCTGCACCCCAGCCCCCGCAGAGCCTGAGGTCACTCCCCACTCCCGAGGGGTGGTCTTTTCTTGCAAATGCACAGTGGGACTCAGCACCCGCTTATTCACTGGCCCCGCAGCTGTGTGCTGGGCGCCGGCTCTGCCGACAGCATTGTGGGCACCCGGCCTGCAGCTGGGAACGAAATCAGGTGGGACGAGGGAGACAGAGGGGTGGGCGGCTCCATCCTCCCTGGGTTCTCCTCTCACATCGCCTGCCTGGGGAGGGGCCCTGGGGCCAGAGGGCCAGCAGACTTGGGAGGAGTCTGCAGCCTCTCACACCACCAGCTGCCGCTCTGAGGGACCCAGAAGCCTGGGCAGAAAGGGCTGCCGGGGACACAGGGACATGCGGGGCCAGCCCACGGTCGGCGGGGGGGAGCTGTTTGCCCCTCCAGAGGCTCCCCACCCACTCTGGGTCCCGGACCCTGACCTCTCTGGCCAGCATCAACTGCAGCCCTGCCTGGTTCTGGCTTCACAGCGGATTCAGCCAGTGAGGGGTGCCAGCCAGGCCTGGAGAGCATGCTCCATGTCCCCTCCCTGCCCACAGCAGCCCTGGGTGTGCTGCCCCCCCGCCCAGAGCTGGTGACACGGCCTCTTACAGCTCCACAGTCCACGGGCCTGAAAACACACTCTCACCCACCTTAAAACCCAATGTGGCAACGGCCTCTGTTGTGGCCTCCTCCATGGCCTCCCCTGTGGCCTCTGCTGTGGCCTCCCCCATGACCTCCACTGTGGCTTCCTCCATGGCCTCCGCTATGACCTCTGTGGTGACCTCCTCCGTGGCCTCCTCCATGGCCTCCCCCGTGGCCTCCCCCATAGTCCCCACTATGACCTCCTCCGTGGCCTCCCCCATGGCCTCTGCTATGACCTCCTCCGTGGCCTCCCCCATGGCCTCCGCTATGACCTCCACTGTGACCTCCGCGGTGACCCCCGCGGTGACCTCCGCAGTGACCCCCACTATGACCCCTGCGGTGACCTCCACTGTGACCAGCTCCAGGGCCAAGTCCGCCTCCTGTGCCGGTTCCCTCATCTCTGCCCACTCCTCTGCCCGGGGGGCCCTGGGTAGCAGCCCTCTGGCTGATTCCTGCCCAGACCCTGGCTGCAGAAAGCAGGCGCTGAGCGTCAGCTGTGGGGTGCACCGCCCGGCGGGTAGAGAGTGGCTGTGAGACAGAGCAGTGGAGCAAACTGCCGGGAGAGGGAGCGGCGGTCCCAGAGCCGCCTGCCGCAGAGATCATCACAGCAGCGACACCCACAAGGACCCCGCCCTTCGGGGAAGTTCCCTGGGTAGTGGGTGCTGGGTGCACAGCACGAGAAGGAGGCTTTCCGGCGTCTCTGCAGAGCGCTGACTCAGCGCCCTGGAACCCAGGACACATGCTCCCACAGCCTCAGCGGCCGGCCCCGCGCCAGGAGCCACAGAACCCGTGACACGGCTGAGCCGCCAACCTTTGCAGATGGGTTCCCACTGTTTCCTGGGACATGGTCGACCAAGGTCCCACCCGTCCGCCTCCCAAGAGTTAGGATAACTCTGGCCCCTTCTCTCACCCCGCCTTCGGGCCTGCCCACCTGCTGAACCCTGCCCTACAGGGGTGGCCGGAAGTGGCGCCCCTCGGGTCTGCCCTGTGGGGCCGGGGGCAGGGACCGGGGCTCCTGGGTGGTTCCAGCCAGAAGGGAGTTGCCGGGAGCAACTTCCCAGCAGGAGCTGCCGTTTGTGGGGTGCAGAGCGAGGGCAGCCCTGGCTGGAGAGCCCCAGGCGCCTTGGGGGGGTCCCTGGGGGTCTCTGCTGGCCCCGACGCCCAGGGGCCTTGATGGGCACCAGGCCAGGGGTCTCAACCCTGGATGTGTGGGTGGAGGGAAATCCTGGCTCTGGCGCCACCCCACCCTCTCCCAGCCCCAGAGGACTCAGGGCTCCCTCAGCTGGACCGGGAGCACGGGGCGGGGAGGGTAGGGGGCAAAGTGATGCCAGTCTGGGTCCCTGCAGTCATGAATGAGAACCCACTGGGAGCGGGCTTCCCCAAGAGCCAGGGGCCTGGGCCCCCCCCAAGCAGGGCAGGTGCACCAAGAGATGAGATTTCTCTTAAACTCAATACTAAAAACAAAACAATAAAATACATTCAAGTAATGACTGTAGGTAAAAACTCTTGGCTGGGGATGGGCAGTAGGTGGGGCATGGCACTGAATTGTCAGGACTTCTCTCTGGCCTGGCCTGGCTTGGCTTTATTTCAAATCACACTGTGGGGCAGGGGTAATATACCCCATGTTCTAGGCTGGAAGGCCCTAGTCATCACTGACGCACCGTAATTGTGAGGTTTTGATGAGGGTCTCCTAGTCAAAGGGCAGGAGGGAGGTGGGGGCTCCGTGTCCCAAGGGGGAGTGAGTACATCAGAGAGGGGTGCCCCCCAGGGTTGCAGGAGGCCCTGGAGAGCTCTGGGCTTCCCTGCTGCCAACTGGCCCCTGCTGGGCTGGAACGGAGGGGGTCCCGTGGGCCCCACCCCAGGGGACAGATGTGTGAGGGTGGGCAGGGCGCCTGCATGCTTGTGCAGGGCCCACCCTCCAGCAGAAGCCGAGTCCCTGTCTTTAGTGATGCATTTGAATGAATCTCTTTGGCCACAAATGGAATGCCTCTGAGGCCCTAGCTAGGCCCAGATGGAGGCGTGGGTGGGCCTGGGGGGGGACATGGGGTGGGGAGGAGGGAGCCTGACCAGTGAGGGTGAGATGGGACCTCATTCCCACTGTGGGGATCCTGCTGCAAGGGGAGCCCCCTTCCAACTGCTTGGGCGCTTGGTCCAGCTGCCGGCATTTTCCCAGAGCTCTCTCACAGTCTCTGAGCACAGGAAGGTGTCCAGTGTTGAAGGTGGGGAAGCAGGACTCACAGGCAAGAGCCTGGGCCAGCCTCAGCGGACTTTAGAATGTTGACCGCCTCTGCCCTGTGGCCTGCTTTAGAACAGGGGGTTATGCAGCGTGTGGAACGCACAAGACCGAAGGTTAGGATGCAGGAAGGAGGCAGAAAGAGAGGCCGAGCAGGAGGAAGGCCAGTGTGTCTCACACAAACATAAAAAAGACAAAGAAATACTAACCACTAAAGTTCACTGAGCCACACAAGGAGGGTGGGGCATCCGCCTTCCTCCCCTCCTTCTACTTACTGTATCTTTGTCAGGCGCTCACCCCGAAAGGGGGACAGAACTGGCCTCGACCTCCCATGGTAGCCGTGAGGATTAAAGGACTGTTTCACCTTCAGAATAGTTCCTGGCTCTGAATGAACTGTCACTAACACTCCCTTCCTCACCTTCCTCATTGAATCAGCAGCACATTCTGCTACAATCTCAGAAAACCCAACATATGGTGGCCTCAAGAGTGGGTGTTTGTTTTCTCCCCAAAACAAGGAGTTCAGAGGTGACTGCATGCCAGGGGCACCAGCCATGCCCTCAGGGCTCCAGACTCATCTTTCCATTCTAGGAGCCTTAGCAGGGAGGCCTTCTACCCTTACCCCTCTCCTCCTGCTTGCCAGATACCTGCTGCAGCTCCAGACCTCACATCCAAGTTCCAGGTGGAAAGAAAGGGAAAGCACAATACACACAGGGTTTACCCCAGTGAGATTTTCCTGCTTTGCTCTGGAGGGGACGCTCTTTCCAGCAACTCCCACATCTCCACCGTCCAGAAGTGTGCCTTGTGGTCCATCCTAGCTGCAAGGGAGGCTGGAAAGCTGTGTAATCTTAGCCAGGAGCATCTCTTCTCTCCCTGAGAACAGTGTAGAAGGGATATGGTTGTTGAGCAGGCACCGAAAGTGTCACCAGCATGGTGTTGTAGGATTCATCTCACTGCCAGATAAAATATACTACTTCCATCTTGCAGACAGAGAAATCGAGGCTCAGTAAGGTTGAAAATCATCTTCACAATCAGAGTGAGTAGATGATACTTTGGTCTCTTGATTCCAAGTATTAATATTTTATAAACCCATGACTTATAATTGATTATTGAAGGTTTTCTGACATTGATTTTAAAGCACTGACATTGATATATGACTGCTGCTGCTAAGTCACTTCAGTCGTGTCTGACTCTGTGCGACCCCATAGATAGCAGCCCACCAGGTTCCCCTGTCCCTGGGGTTCTCCAGGCAAGAATACTGGGGTGGGTTGCCATACCCTTCTCCAATGCATGCATGCATGCTAAGTTGCTTCAGTCATGTCCAACTCTGTGCGACCCTATGGACAGCAGCCCACCAGGCTCCTCTGCCCACAGGAGTCTCCAGGCAAGAATACTGGAGTGGGTTGCCATTTCTTTCTCCAGGGGTGAATATGGGCCCACCCTAAAGAAGCTGGGTCCACCCCAGTGAAGTTGAACTCAACCCCAGTGAAGCTGGGCCCACCCCTGATATATGACAGCTGCTTTAAAATCTGTGCCAGGTAAGTCCGACATCTGACTCATCTAAGTATTGGCCTCTGTCCACTGTCTTTTCTCATCCAGGAGTTTTCCTGGCTCTTGGTAGCACCAGTGATTTTGTATTATATCCGAGACATTTTGGCTATTATGTTAGGATACTCCATCCTGATAAAATCTTCAGTTTTAGCAACAGTCATCTGTTTAGTTGAGGTATAGGTCCTGGCCTAGTTTGGGGGCTTCAGTCCAAGACCTTTTAGTGTCCTGAGTCCTGACTGAGTCTCTTGGGTCTTCCTTCTTCCTGTGCTGCTGGGGTTCCCACTCGGTCCACTTAGCCTCTGCCGGTGGTGTCTGTGGGGCCAGGAGGCACTGCTCTGGGCCACGTGCCATCACTGGGTGAACCTCAGGGTGGTGGGGAAGAAACCACTGGCCTGGGTCTCCCTATGCCACTGGGTGGAGGGCAAGGAGACACAAGGTTTTATAACAGAGCAAGACCCCGTGTTGTCTTCCCAGGACAGACCCCATATCCTCTGCTATGGCTCCTCTCAGAAGTACCTATGTAGGGACTTCCCTGATGGTTCAGTGGCTAAGGCTCCATGCTCCCAAAGCAGGAGTCCCTGGGTTTGAGCCCTAGTCAGGGAACTAGATCCCACGTGCCACAACTAAGCCCCAGTGTGGCCAAATAAATAAATAAACAAATTTTTAAAAAGAAGTAAAGCTTCCCCTATGGCTCAGTGGGTAAAGAATCTGCCTGCAATGCAGGAGACACAGGCGATGCGATTTCACTCCCTGGGTCGGGAAGACTCCCTGCAGAAGGAAATGGCAACCCACTCCAGTATTCTCGTCTAAGAAATCCCATGGACAGAGAGGCCTGGTTGGCTACAATCCAGGGGGTTGCAAAGAGTTGGACAAGACTAAGCATACAAGCACAAAAAAGAAGTACCTAGGTAATAGTACCCAGTGCACATTACCTGTTTTATAGGTGCTAAAGCCTCCCCCCAAAAGAAGAAATTGACTACCCGCTGATCATGAGCTTGCAGCCCCAGACCTACTGGTGCCAAAGGATGGATAATGTTCACCCCTGTGACATCACCGTGTTATCTCACCCTCAAACAATCAGAGAATTGTTCATGAGCTATCACACACCCTGGGATACCCCTTCCTCACCTGGTCTTTAAAACTGTTTTGCTGAAACCCAACGGGGAGTTCAGGGCTCTTGAGCATGAGCTGCCTGGACCCCTTGGTGGTTCTTGCAATAGACATCGCTCTGTCCTTCACCACAATCCTGTCAGTAGAATGGCTTTACTGAGCACGGGCGAGTGGACCCAAGCTTGGCTCAGTAACAGCTTCACAGCTGTGGGCAGATGGATTGTCCAGGGGCCCAGCTGTGGAGGCGCTGGGGTGACCTGGGTGCTGTCACTGCTGCTCACAGATGAGAATGCCTGCTGGGGTCCAGGTTGTTGAGTGGGGAGGACAGCACCTCATTAAGTCTCTGTTGGACTTCCCCTTCCCCAGTACTTTAACCAGAGAAGGGAGACTTTTCTAGATTTGGGGTTTTTTAAATCTATGCCTCTTGGAGGTTCTCGTTGCCAGTTTCTCTGGCACCCACCCCAGGGCTGTGCAGAAGATCTGAGGAAACTGCAGGGAAGTCACCAC